ATATGAAGTGCCTCAAGAGAAAATTCTGCATTTGTTGCAGACTTCATCATTACAGAAAATGGTATGGCCAGTGCTAACACATCCATAGGTTTTCTACCATCTAGAAAGGCACAGTATGGTTATCAGTTTGTCACAGACCATGTAATGTCACCAGTCATTCTGGCATTAAGCCCATACTTGGCTTTGAGCGAGAATGTCCTTTAGAAAGGTATTTTCACTTAAAGAGTGCAAGGGATGGAAATTTGTTCCTGTGCTTAATCACCTGAATTTTTAAGCATGTATCTTATTACTTATAGGACTTACCTACCCTTTTTTGAAAAGTATGAGGAAAGTCTTATTAGATGTTATTTATTGACAAAATGCACTGTTTTCCAAAATTTTCGGAATGTAGTGTCTCTTCGATGAATGTTGCCATATGAAAGAGGTGCATATGTAGAGTTAGAGCTCAGGAATAAAAAACTGGAACTAGAAAGGCAGCTACAGCATTTTTGCTGATCCTTGCTAGTTCATTATAGCTGTCTGTGATACAATCCTTATTTCAATGATCCCACCTAAGTTTCATATATTATGCTGTCAGCCTAATAGATGGGTATATAGTATACTCTATACAGTATAGAGTTTAGACCCCCTTTTAAACCTTAAAGGGAGAACTTTAGACCTTAAAATTACTTCTGTTTCTTTTGCACTGGCCACTACTATTAGTGCTGCTTTTGTAGCTCTCATTGATTTTCATAGGGTTGGTATATTGTTGATGCTAATACAAGTTTATTTTCTTTTAAAGTCATATTTCTTGAATTGTTAGATTAATATTCTGTGGGTAACAGAAATATGCCATACGACACATTGTCTAGAAGAGTCTTATTAAAGAAAAAAGGAAAACTTTGTCTGCCCTACTACATCTGATATATTAATATAGTACTGATATATTATATAGTACATTGATTATTGTTGTACTATTTTGTACATAATTGAGAAGGTAGCATATATTCTGAACATTTCGGGTTTTAGCCAATTCTAGCTTCTCCCTCAATTAAACAGCATTTAGGGGTTGAAACATGCCCATAATAGCTTTCTGAGGATAGTAATAATGATGAGGGTTGTAAAATAGTTAGTGGCTCCAGATGTCACTCTATAAATCTTAACATAATAGTCATATATTAAAAGGAATGTGATTAGCACATGAAATCTTAGTAAACAGGTAAAGTCTTAGAAAAATTAAGTGGCTATTTCCTTTAAGAGAAAACAACTGTTAGTCTGTCTTGATTTTCTTTGAGGGTAGATTGTAGGCTGAAAATAAGATCTGTAGCTATTTTCTTTAGTTTATTCCATGCCTTTTTAAAGTAGTGTCTTACAGAATTGCATATTTTAGACTACCCCCAGTTTTATTGCTGAGTACGATGCTATGTGGTATGGAATGGTCCCTCTGGTCAGTTGGGGTCACCTGTCACACCTTTTTCTTCTCACAGCCAGGGGGAAGCCAGGACAGGGCAGGGGGCTGCAGCATGAGGAACAGAGAAGGCCTTGGTGCTGTACAAGCACTGCTCAGCAATTGCTAAACACTGGTGTGTTATCAACACTTAGTCACAACTAGAAGAACAGGCAGCTGTGAAGAAAACTGCCTCCTTCCCAGCCAGACCCAGTACACCTGGGATTACAGGAGTCAGATGGGTTTATAAATAGATTAATGGAATTGAAATATAACATTTTGATTCCATTCATATGTCTGTCTTTTCTCTCCCGCATGGCTTGATTGTTTTTGTACATCATTGTTGTTAACATTCACGTGGTTTATTAGTAGTAAGCTTTGGCTATGAAGTTGCATCCTTTATTTAAGAAGTCTGATCAATGAGTTCTCTCAATTACTTTTACATTGATCAATCTCACATCTGAATCATCAGCCCTTGAAGAGATGAGAGTTACAGCTCTTTGAAGTGTGACTTCTGACACTAAAGTAACATGTTGACACAATTAATTGTAGTTCTACCAGTATTTTGAAATCTTAATTTTTTCATTCTAGAGCCACTCTAGAATTTAAAGGTCTTGGGATTGCAGTGCTTTGATCCATAAATTATTGTGTAGTTCTGCCTCTCAAGACCTCCAGGAAAAACACTAGGTAAATAGTGATGTCCTAAAATAAAGTAGATCCATATTTTTCTAAGAGGCAGGCTAAGTACTTTTTATGTCAAATTTTTGTTACCTGTGGTAACCAGCCGTGTTCAAAAAAAAGCAATGTGATCATATGGTGTTGTTACCTACGGTTGTTAGTTTTGCTGGTGTGTTTTTGCTCCTGTGTTAGACTTTTTTCTGCTTCTCATGATTAACATGTAAAGGTTTTAGCAAGCCACCAGTAAGGCAGATAAAATTTTCCATCTCAGAACTGAGCTACATTCAACATATGCACAGATGTGCATGGTAAACAAAGCTGGAAAGAATACATTTGGATTTTCTAGAGTAGTTTCGTGCAACTGCATGCTTAGAAATAAATTCACAGCTAATTGGTGCTAAATTACATTGTACTTCATGCACAAAATCAAATTTCTCCATGAGATAATTTAGATTTACTTCACAGCCCTCATTAATTGTTCTCATATTCTTTGATATAGTCATATATATATAAAGGAAAACCAGAACATAAACATGTTAAGCTTAAGGATTTAAACATTAAAAAAAGTAAGAATTACAGAATTAAGGTTGAATATTTACTCAGTCTTGACTGAAGTAATAACCTCTGAAATAGCACTTCATTACACAATAGAATATTCTTTCCCAGGTATCGTAGGTAATACAGGGTAACATATCATATAAATTATTTAGTATAACATACAGTTGACAGGCTAAAGGACCTAAAATTCACACACTGAAAGAAGTTGTGTTTAGAGTAACTCTAATCTGTGCACCATACACATGTAGGGCTAAATTTTTAAAGGGGTCTCATTTTTCCCTCTGGTTTCATATCCTCAGTCTATTTGATGCATGTATGATAGGATTAAGATACTCTTTTTTTACTTCAGTCCCTAATTGATCTATCTTAATCCTTTCATATCTGTCCTTTAAAAAAGAGGCCGTCTTTAAAAATTTCACCTAAAGTGCTCAATTTTGCCTTCAGATACCTCCATGCAACTTCCATTGAAGTAATTGGAGCTGTGCCTGCATATCTGATGGTGGAACTGGACTCATTGCAATTAAGGTACACATTTACTGACATAATTAGTCATCTGGAATAATTGCTGGGCCCAGTGTGACATTCTGCATGTGCAGAGTTTGCTAGATTGGACTCTGCATATGAGAGATTGAAGATAATGATAACTTTATTTCATGCCTTAAATTTGTAGTTGTAGCCGAATTAATTTGTAGTTGTAGCAGAATTTTAATGTGGTTTGTTGTACTTAATTTTCTTATTTTTAAATAAGAAATGTGGAGGGAATTCACAGTGATGCCTTTGTATATATTTTCATACCCAACCAGGACACAGACATTCTGTCATTTCTATGAGCATGTTACAAATGGTTTGTGCAGGCACAATTGTGATTTGTGCAGTAGCTTATAGTTAAAAATATTAAATCCTGAGTGTACTGCTTTTTTTTTTTTTTAGCCTTGTATCTTTGCGCTGGTAAAGCGCAGACATAAAATAAATCTGTAAATAATGCCACAGTGAACTAACTGCATAAAAGCCACACATACTAAAGTTCCTCGTAATTGAAAATACATAGAGTACTTATTTTCCAATAATTTAAAATTTTCTGTGTTTTGGGATTGCAAGTTGATTACTGCAGCTTAAATATAGGTGCCTCTCTCCTGTCACTGATCTGGGGAGGGGCTCTTTGACTTATAAAAGTAGTTGTTTTGTAGAGAGTGATATAAATCCATGGTTGGCACAAAAGCTGAAGATTTTGTAGAGGTTGCCTCAAATAAAATTAAATTTGTGACACATAAAACTTCCAACTTACAAGAAGTTTTTCTGAGATGTTATAACCTGTTGAACCACAATGAACATAGTGAATACTCCTGTGATTTAGAGTAGTTACTGATAAATATTTGGGTCTAGTTCTAGAACTGTTAAAAAGTGCCAGTTTTCATGGTATTGATGTTACCTGTATTGCTTTGAATTTAAAATGCTATGAAATTTAAGAATAGTAGAATATATAGATGCCTCTGAGATTTATTCACTACCACAAAAATTAAGTTACTTAGAGGAAGCCTTGGCCCAGGGGCCCTTATATCACCCTCTGTGTTAGTGGAAAGTCATCTGCCTGTGGCAGGCACAGCCAATATTAGTTGCCATTACTTGTTAAAGTTGAAGATACTCTTTATAGCACCACAACTCCTTGAAGGTGCAAGATTTCTGTTTTTAAAGAAACACTGACACATAGAAGTTGAAAACAAAGAACAAATAATTATTTGAAGTAAAGGTGATCATTACAAAGTAGTGATTTTAAAGGAGGTCTTGTTAAAAAAAGCCAAATTACTAGAAAATGACTGTGTTTTTGATATGACTGGTTGAATGGAGAAATTATTCCTCTCAAATAGTCTTAGCTATATTAAACTGCTCTGTTTCAAGATAGTAGAAGGAGTTAATTAGTTCAAAAATAAGTTTCATGCATTAATTCTTAGAATGCTACTGTAATGTTTTCTGCATTTTAACAAACACATGCTTAGATGATCATGTATTTACGTCCCCTGCATTTAGAATATGTAACAGATTTATAATTCAGCCTGCCATGTAAATTTTTTTCACTCTTTTCATATCTGTTGCACCAGCTTGGTTATGTGTAAAAATTGGGATGTCTGCCCATTTTCAGGTAAAGACTCTTGCAATGAAAGTGGTTGATTTCTTGACATTAGTGTTCCTTTGTTCTGTGCTTACACCCTGCTTGTTCTACATGTTTGTACATTTCTTTGTTTTGTTGAAATGGAAATAAGCTAAAATTGTTGCTAAACCATTTGTTTTTTCCAAAATTTTTTCTCTATTTTTAATTGATTTTCATTGTGTGTTTTTGCAGCAAGCTTAGTAGTGGAGGAACGAACGAGACAGATGAAAATGAAAGTGCACCGTTATAATCAGACATCAGGGTCTGGTTCTAGCCAAGAACATGAGCGTGAGCAATATACCAAGGTAAAGTCAGTAGTCTTGGAATGATACTTTGGCTTGAAAATTGAAGGCATACATTTGTTTATTTAAAACATTATGTTACATTCAAGAACGCTGTATTTTAAAGCCTGACAGAAATGTCTTCAAGTAATGACTTTTTAGCATAATTTTTGCCCCCATCTGATGTGTGTTAGACTTAGTCTTTGACATCAACTAAAATGAATCTGTAAAAACCGAAATACTTAAAAACTAATTCAGGAAAGAAAGATCCTTCAGCTGTTATAAAGAGACTTATCACATCTAGCTTAGGAAGTCCTCATACTTCCAGTCCTTGGAGTCTGGAAAAGCAGGCCATGAAAGAGTAGGTTGGCCTTTGTTGCTGTGTGATTTGTAGAGGGCTAGATAGAACTAGGTCCAATCACATGCAGATGTTCTCATATTTGTATAATTTTTTTGCATCCTAGTAATGTCAGAGATAAAAGTGTTTCATTTCTTGAAGTACCTACTGATTACTTTGAGTTCCTTTTCTAATAAAAGTGTAAAAAGTTTCTGTGATAATGAAATATATCGAAATTATGTTAGCGAAGTTGTATAGAGGAATTTCGTTTTCTTATAAAGGCTAAAATGATAGCCCATAACTTTGCAATTTAAACTGTATAGGGTTCTAAGCAAACTGATGAAAATGCCTTGCACATCTGTACTGCTGCTTACAATTCAAGCTGTGAGGAGCTGAATGTTGCTGGAGATACGGATTAAAAGAACCTATAAGTGAAACAGAATCACAAATTTACTTAGGAGTGGTTAAGTAGGAAATTTGGCAGCTACCTTTTAATTGCTAACAGATTTGAAAGATTGGTTCAAGATCTTGTTGCAGTTAAATACACAAACAACTTTAATAATGAACAGTTCTCAAAAGGAAGATAAGAGACACACGAGAAACGAGGCTTTAGGTTTTCAGTGGCCAAATTGTGGGATATCAGTGCTATTAAAAAAACTCAAAAGCTGGGGTGGAAATTTCAAGGAGATCCTCTGTCAGAAGCAAGAATTTGTTTAATTAGAACAGCTCATTTGCCACTGGGTTTGCTGTTATCTTCTAAAGAGGTCCACTCAGGGCAAGAGGGTGAGATGCAGTGCTGTGATCTCTGTGGTACTTCCCAACCACTTAACATGCTAGAAAAAAAAAAGTCAAAATAGGGTTGATAAAATTTTCATGAGAGAGAGGTAATATGCAATCTGAGGACTTCTGCCAGGATGATCAGAGACCTTTGTTCAGAGTCAGAGGCCAGGTTTCTGAATTAGATTATATATGCTTACAGATTGATTGAAATTTTTGTATTTATCAGTCTGAAACTTCTTTTTTAATCCTAACTCTCTAATATTTGTGATAAGCATCATTTTGGTCATCCAATATGTTTTTCTTACTTGATCAGCTTAGATCCAATGTGTGGTTAAATAGCTGTTAGAAAACATCAACGTGCAATGTTACAAATTTTTCTTATCCTTAGAACCATGAATTTTCTAGGATCTTCTTTTGGTTTTAAATGCATGTGGAAATGAAAATTGAAATAATGATGAGTACTAAGTCAAAAGAACACTGAAATTATTCTATTTAGAATTTTTTTTCTAAATATATGATGAAAATTTTGAAGAAGCAAATTCTCTGTCAGTTGTTATAGACAAATATTTTTGGAGTACCTTGTATTCTGACAGGCATGTACTTTTTTCCATGCTATAACAGTAGTAAGAAGAATTGCCCTGGACTTTAAATCTTTAACTTTTCATGTATTTTCTACATAATAATGTTGGAGTCCTAGATAAGAGGGTCCAATACAGAATTAATTTTTAAGTGCTGAGAAAGAATTATATTAGCCCGTTCTAACACTTCATTATATTCACTGTTGTGGTTGTTTGTTTCATTTCACTGTGGTGATAGTCATCACTTTAAAAATGTTAACAAAGCAAACCTTATGCTACTCTCTTTCTCTATCCTGAGAAAATGCTGAAACAGTCAAGAAAATAACCAAGACAGATGAAGATTTGGACAGCTTTAATGAAAATGTAGGACATCGTATCAGCTGTTGTGTAAAGCTGATGACTGAGACTTCTCAGAACCAAAGAGACTGTACGTAGTTTCTGCAGCCAAAATTTATGAAAAGTTTTCAAAAACTGCAGAAACAAGACTTACATTAAATAAAAAATATTAAGTATAATAGGCATTCTGGAATAGTGAAAAAAATAAATATTAACTGACTATTAAAAAAATAGCAATTGCAAGTACAGATTTTCCTCCTTAATCAAAATGCTTCTTTGCTTCCCAAATAGCAGTTTGCCCTCTGCTCCAGAAAATAAATATATTTATTAGAGAAGTTATACTGTGCTGAACATTGAGAAAATAGTCCATTCTGCATTTCAGAGCAATCAGTTCACATGGATTTATTCTTCCAATATTTTTGCATTTGCAAATATGCTTGTTTTATTACATAAAAAATTCTCTAAACAATTTTAAAATTTTCCTTCAGTATAGGACTGGATCATATTTGTAATGGCTAATTATGCATATATAAAATAATTCCTGAAAGTTAAATAAGTTTTCTCATATATTGAAACAAGCCTTTTTAAAACAGAGATATCATAACTGGTCTTTTGCAATTTCCAAGTCAATTTCTGATGCATTACAATTTTGGAATTTTTCCACAGTTTCTCAATTTTCTAGTTTCAGTAACCAAGCAATAGTTTTCCAATATGCACCATGCAGGTTTCAGTTTTGAACATCCATTAATGGATTTTGAATAGGCAGCTGTCTGCCCTGCAACATTTGTATACATCTTCATGGCTGTTCCACTCTGTTTTGAGACTTTCACAGAGCTCACATCCTTATTTCCTCCCAGTGCAGTGGAAAGACTCCATAATTTATGTAACTTTTAATAAGCTGAACAAAATACAAGTATTCTAAAAAAACCACCAGACCTCTGAGGATTTGTCAAAAGGTTTAAAGAAGAGCTTAAAACATGTCTTCCTTCTTTCTTATATATTGGTAAGGCTTTAGTGGCTAGTGTGCACATATTTGTGCTGTTTCAGTGCTTGAGAGAATCAAAACATTTGGTGGCATAATTCTAGATTTGCACAGAGGTGAATTACAGTGTAACTCAATTAGCTTTTTAATTCAAAAATACACTAAGTTTTTTTTATTCCAGATGCCACATATAGAACAAAAACACCATGCTGCTGCTGCTCCAGCTTTCCCTTTTTTTGGAAGTTCTGTTTATTCAAGAGTTATTGATTAGAGCACTGTAGTATATACTTTAAAAGGATATCACTCTATATTTAGATGCACTACTGACTTAAGACAGTATGTGATTGAAAAGCATTTAGCACAGAAGTGTAATCAAGGCATTTGTTCAGTGGCACTGTGGATTTAACTCAGTAGTTACTGTCTTAACTCTTAAGTGTTAGTAGTTAATGTCTAAAATGGGCTGGGTAGGATACTCGGGCTGATAGGAGGCTGATTATGTTGTTTTATGTCATACTGGGTAAGGCATCTGGGGCTGCTTTTGGACATAGATTTGGCATGTTCTTCTGCTCCCCCTCATTCACTTTGAAGAAAAAATTCTTTAATGTGTGTCGTATTAAGATGACAGTCACTCCAGTACTAGCTGGATTTCACAAAATTTAGTGAATTCCATTCATCTGACCTGTGGGCTTCGCTGCAGTTTCCTCGTGGTTTGACTTGCTCATTTTTATTGTTCCCTGTTTGGAAGTTGAGCAGTGTTCATAGGAGTTGAACACAACTAAAGAAAAGTTCTTTAGAACCACTGGTGCTTAGTGGGGTCTGGACCATGGTGTGAGCTGCTCCTAAGACAGAAGCTGGAGTCAGTGATGAGGCCTGAACACCCCAAGGTGCCAACTGCTGGGCTATGAATGCCAGCAGCATTCAGAGGAACCCTATGTGAGCAGCCATAAAACTCAAGGTGCTTTGTGCAGAATTCAGTGTTTTCTGACAAAATTCCTCGTTAGAGTGCCTCAGACGATAGCTACAATCTCAAGACTTGTATAAGTCCCTGGATGAATCTATACATCTGGTCTGGATTTCTCTTTCCTCACGTTAATGACCTCATTTTAAAGCCCATTTTATTTTCTCATTTCATTTCCTCATATTAAGCACATAATGAGTTATATATTTGTCAAGGTTAGTCACCTGGGACTTTTTTGTAGTCAAAGGATAGCACATTCATTTAATTTTCAAAGATCTGAACTCTTGTATTCTTCATGGTTTTGGGAGTTAAATCTAGAAATATAAATACTTTCATATTAGATAATATGAAATACAATTCAATTATAGCAGGCTGTTAAATGATTTCTAAGACAGGCCTTAAAATCGGTTAAATTGCTAACACTGTTAGTCATTAAGGAGTTTAAAATTATTTATGAAGTACAATCTTTTTGTTTGTGTGTATGCTCTTCCATTCATGTTAACACATCTGTAGTTCACCATTTTTCTTTTTCTTTTTTCTCCTTTTGCTGGTGTGCAAGAAGCAACAGCTCCACAGGTGATAAAGTGAATGGAAGAACTGCATTTCAGCTGTTTATAGACTGCTGTTTTTGTAATGCAGGCAAGGACAGTGCAGATATTTTTGGCATTTGAAACTAGCTGCTATTAATGTTTAAAAAACCAGACCTACTCTTTAGTAATTGCTATTGAAGTTGCCGCAAACTTCAGCAACTCTCCTAATGTGATAAATAGTGCACCTTGGAAAAGAAATGTTACATAAGCTGTAAAATACAGAGTTGAAAGATAAATGATTGTACTGAAAATATACTTCATTTTGAAGCATGAAAAAAATGTAATGTTTAAATATAACATGTCAGGAAAACTTACTGCAAATATATATGCAGTTGTAAAGAGCAGCAGTTTTCTGCTTTACAGTAGAACTTTATCATATTATTTTTGAGCCTGGTTGGAAACCTGCAGGCATTACTTCATTACAGGTACCATATAAGAGGATCTTAGCCCATGTTATTTTTCTTTAGAATTATATGTCCAGGTTTATTGCAGCAGTAAAATATTCTCATTTTAATGATCACTGCTTTGTGGAAGAGTACTATATACTTCTCTCAGTATTTGAAGGGAAAGAAAGGTAACTTCAAAATTGACTTAATTTTGTTCATCTGTTAGCTGAGATGTCTATTGGGCTGTATCAGAGGTAGGTAGGAAATCAGTAGGAAAACTTGTATGCCTCCTGTAGAAGTCAGTGAATTAATTAGAATCAGCAGATATAAGAAAGAAAAGCTAAATCCAGAAGTAGTAGTAGTAGTAAAATGTAAACTCTGTAGCACTCAGCACTGATTTTCAGCATCAATACTTTTTGTGCTAATCTCCACTTATGTGAAAGGAAAGATTTTCAGTTTCTTGGGAATCACAGCCCTGGCATACAGTATAAAGGGGTAGGAAAATCTCAGCCATGCCATGAAAATCTCATTTAGGAAGGGATGCTCCATGTTTTCTGCAGTAGCTGTGTGATTGCAAGACAGGGCAAGTAGAAGACATGGATTCAGTTTTTTCTTTATGTCCCATCTCACTGTAAAATTCTCTGTTTACAGAGAATATCTCTCCATGGCTCCCACTTACAGAGGATGATACCTGGGCTGAAGACCCCTGCACCAATAAATAGTTTCCTATTGATACTGAACAGTCAATTGATGAGGCTAAATATTTAAAGCCACAGATACACAAACTGGGGCTTCTAACTTCTTTCCCAGTATTCTAATCAGTAAGCTGCACAACCATGCTTGATGCTTTCCCTCTCTCCCCTCTCCCCGTCTTTCCCAGCCCACACAGATCTCCCATGAAAGGTGGAGCACATTCAGTACAAGTGAAACAGAGGGTCTTCTTCACAACATACACAGTCCACCTGTTGAATCATAAGTTGAGTGCTAAACAGGCACTTTTCAGGTGTGGCTTGGAACAAAGGCCAGCAGCTATACCTCTCTCTATTAGTTAGAAGGAAGACTTCCAGCAGGACAGCTTCCAGAAGTCACTGCATCTGGCCGTGGTGGTTCTCTTGATGGGGGAGTCTGCCTTCTCCAGCACCATCTCATGGCTGCTCAGGGACCACCTAAGTCTTCTACCACTGCAGGTTCACTCTATACACTTTCAAGCCAAAGGCTACAAAGGGAATACGGACTTTTTGAGGAGTAATCTGACATTATAATGGCGGAGGGAGGAAATCAGATTGTCTTCAGCAAATACAAATAAAGCACGGAGCTATTTCTGAAAGAGTCTGTAACTATGTTTAAGAAACCCCATGCATTTGAGAGATTGCTTGGTTATATTTTAAACAAATAATTTTTGAAACCTCAACTTCAAAGGAATAGTTTGTAGATATATTCTCAATAGATGGGATGGATTAAATCCCTCTTTCACTGAAATCAACAGAAATTTTATTATTTAATGGGATAATTTTGCAGATTGCAAATCTGTTTAGCATAATGGAAAGCCAGATCATTCCATGTGTCCAGATGGTTTTCATATTTTTACATGTCTCATTTAGAGTAGCTTGAAGGATTTGTTAGGAATTCTTTAGGAATTTTGCATGAAACATCAAGTCTGTCTCAGGACTGGGGCAGTTTAACTTACAGTGGAGGGAATTAACCATTAAGTTTTCTAGCCTCTGAATGTTTATATGTCGCCTAAGTAAAAGGTTTTCAAACTTGTATTCTTTCTTTGAATATTTTTTTAGACTTCAGAAGAAAAACATGATATCTTATTAAGAAATAGGTTTGATAAGAATTAGTATACTTTGTGTTTCCATTTTGGAGTTACCATTTTATCTAGCAGTCTGAAGGATAGCAATCAGCAAAATTCTTTAACAGACTCTATGAGCCATTAACAAAAGGAGATTTGAATAAACAGCAGCATAGTCTCGCCTTAACCCCATTGGGCATTTATATTCAGTAAAGTCACAAGTCATTTGTAAAGAGAACCTCACAATAAATTCCTGCTGTAGTTGAAAATATTTTTGAATATCAGGGTGCTTGAGTCCTTTCTGTTACCCATTTTCTTAAAGTTACCTTTAATAAACCAGAGCTTGTCTCCTGCAGATGTTTTTACTCAGTCACTTCAAGGCCCTCACAGGGTACTGCTTAGAGGTTTTGCTAAGCAGTGTTCTAATGCACACCTGAAAAACACACTGAGACAGTAAATTTATAAAACTCCATTTGTCCTGCAGATTTCTATATTTACAATTGGTGCTTAGAATTACTTTATTCCTTCCCCTTCTCTGCTCCTGTTGACTTCCTCATTTTATCTTCAAAGTTTTCCAAGTGTGCACAAGCATAGTTGCTGAAAGGCACTGGAGCAAGAGAAGATAAACCTGGCTTAAGGAAAGGAGACCTGATACATACTCAAGCTTGAGTTTGCCAAGTTTTTGAAATTAAGTCATGGCATTTGCTAAGTGATTCAGCCAGCAGCCCAGTGCCTAGTTGGAGTTTGGATATTCAAAGACAGCCACAGATTTGTGTATGATTCATAAATAAACTTTTATGACTTGCAATTTTACAGAGCACAGATCTGGAAAATGAACTCCCTAGAGTGACATATCAAAAACTGCCTAGTGCTCCTATGTGTTAATCGTTTTCCCATAATACATCCTGAGAAGTATGCCACTGGTTTAGTTGCTTTCCAGCCAAGAGTACCTTCCTCTAATGACAGTGAGTTTTAGTTTTGTGATCCTGATAATAATTTGATCCTCATATCTGTATGAGTGAAGATTTAGGTAAATGTGGCTGGCGTTGCTAGGGTTGAAGCTTCCTTTTGTACCTGTCTGACTGATGATATGAGCAATAAGAGCATTAAGTAATTGGTGGTGTGGTGTCACAGTTGATTTTAAAAGCGAGGTAACTTCTACCCCGTCCACATATTCCTCCTTCTGCTGATTCTTAGGCAGATGTAGAAGCAACTAGATCAGGAACTGATCTGCCTGGAAACAAATACTGTATTTGCTGAGTTAGCTTTCTGCCTAACTAGTCCTCTAGTATCACAATACAAAGAGATATTTTGAGATAGAATATGTACTTTTTCTCGTTTTTTTAATAGAACTTAGGAACTGAAATCAGTCTCTAAGAGCATCATGTAGCATTACATTTCTTTCAGACTCATATGCAGTTCTATGTGCAGGTATTGTATAGCATATATTTTTAATATTTTAAAAATAAAAAACAGTCTGTAGCCAAATGGATGATATGCATGTGCTTGAGATATCTGTCTGCTGCATAAATATTTCATATAAATATTTCATTATTGTAGTTCTAGTGTGCTGAAGAACCAACGGCCTATTTAATTTCCAATGTATTATTTTATTCCAAGTATCTCCTTTAGTGCACAAATAACATGTTTGATTTCTGCACTAGACATAAAGACATTATTTAATGTAGCCATTTCTTTGAATTTCATACAATTTTGTTGTTTCTAAAAGCAGTTAAAGAGAATTGTCATACTTAGGTGTTGTCTCAATGAATGCGTTGTTTTGATGAGACTCCTCACCCTTTCTTTTCTTGATCTCTAGTATAACATACAAACAGATCAGTACAGAAGTTGTGATAACGTCTCTGCCAAATCATCAGATAGTGATGTCAGTGATGTGTCAGCCATTTCCCGAACCAGCAGTGCCTCTCGCCTCAGCAGCACAAGTTTCATGTCAGAGCAATCTGAGCGCCCTCGGGGCAGGATCAGGTGAGTTCTCCCTGCACCTTCAATTGCTTCACACTCCCTCTTTTACCCAGTGCCAGAATACAAACAGAAATTCTTGAAACTAAGTAACCACAACATCAGAATTTGTGAAAAACGTTATGTCTGTACAAACTGTCTTCCATGGCTGGCCTAAGATTACATTGTTTTTGCAGTTTTGCCTCTAAAACAGAAAGCAAACTTCCCATGAGGAGATGATAGATTAATGTATTTATCTCACTTGAACTTGATCACAGGCTGTCCTCTCATTGTTGGCTAAGAATCAGTGTAATCAAGATGTCAGTAAGGCATTACAGCAGAAATATTACTAGATTTTTTTAGTTAAGCAGTTTTTTTCATAAAAGTTTGGGTTTTCTTCCCCAAAGTATTTTTCCCTGCCTACCTGCCTTTATTTTTCTCTTTTCATGTATATGATAAATTACTAGATTGGATTGATTATTTATATAGTAATTTTGATATTTCTTGTTCAAAAGTAGTTTAATTCATTTGCATTATCAATTATCAAATACATCTTTCATCCTTGATACTAATCTATTCTGGGATTAGAGTTTTTTTAGATGTACTGTTTAGTTTTGTTTTCATTTAATTTGATGACAAAACTCTCAGCAGCTGTAATGGCTGTAGGATTAGCTTGGTAATCTTTGATTATATCTGTCAGTCCCTGAACTGTCAAAGATTTTACTTTAGGTGTCATGAAACACAAAAAGAATTATGAACTATTTAAAAAATTATCCCTACTAGAAAATCTGCCTGATATAAGCCTGATACAAGATCATTTACCACTCAGAATCCTTCTAGACAGACTCAGTGTCTGAGAAGATCAGGTGCAGGAGTTTGGTATGTTTCTGCAAAAGGAAGAGTTGTTAGGAAAACTCAGAAACTGGCCTCTATGTTTGAGCTAGTTCCACCTAATTATCTTTTCAAGGAATGTTCACAAGGGTATTTCAAGTCATATTTCAGATTGGTGGAGGTACAACCTGACAGCTGCAGTAATCCATGATCCAGCAGAACACTGCAGTGGAACTATAAATGTAGTTAAAGTAATTTCAATTCATGTCTTTAAATGCTGCATTTTATTGTGTTTTAGCTTGTCAGTATTTGACTCTTATAAGGGGCTTTTTTCATAACAAAATACTTTATTTCATAGACAAAGAATTTTTCTCAACTAGGTCCTCTCACAGTGTCTTTGTCAGGTTCAACAAGAATAGGATATTTTTTTCCCATAATTATGTCTAACAGATTTTATCTGAAATTTTCCTTGAGTTCAGAATATCTGATCATAAATATCAAGGCTGGGAGAACCAGTAACCTTGTGTGAGCCTGGCAAGGGTGAAACCTGGGGTCAAATCTTCAACCTCTTTCATTCTTAGAAGTAGCAGAGCACTTCGGGTGCAGGATTGGGTGACCTAGTATACAAAGCCAAGTGTCTCCAGTGGGAGTTCCAGTTCAGCTTCACTCTAGACCAGTAAAGTGAGATGTAATTGAAATTCAGATGCCTTCCCTTTCTGATACTGTCCACAGAATCCATACCTCAGAAATCAGACACTTTGTGGTTGCTTGTTTTGATCTTCTCTAAATTCAGTTTGTACTTCCATAAGTGGACAAAATGTGTAGTAATAATATACAATGCAGTTCCTTCAGTAGAAATATGAGGAAGAGATTAAAAGATTGGGGAAAGAGTTGATTTTATTAGGAACAATTATTTTCTTCTTGAGATTCATGGTGTGTAACTCCAGCCTTAAACCTATGTATCTTCAGTGGAATTCACCTAAAAAGTAAGCCACCATTAAAAAGAAGAAAACACCTATTATGTCAGACAGGTATCAAAGGCAGGGCAGTCATCCTTTTCTAGCATTAATTGTTGAGGAAACCCTAGATAACTTGTTTAGATTGGTTGCTTTAATTTTTGACATTTAAGATTAAAAGGATTATTTCTCTCAATTACTAAATTTTCTTTAAGGTCAAGGAATTAGAAGTTTTAAGTTCAATTTTGATTAGTAATTTGAAATCCAAATTTTATTTTTGCCAAAGAATCCAGTTATTTATCAAAAGAACCCAATGTTAACATATATCAAACAGGATGAGATAGGATGGGATGGCATGGTTGAGCAGGAAGGGTAGCATTTTTGTCTACCTGTTTTTGTCATTCAGAAACCACCTATCCAGCATCATCTTCAGGCCAGTGGCCATGGCAGCTGTGTGAGCATAATGTTATATTTAAGGATAAAATTTGTTGAAGTGCCTTTTTAAGGCACCTACTTTTTGTTCTCCAGATATGTTCTAGATATGAACCTAGTAAGCACATAGAAACTCAAAGGAGGTGGCTCAGTTCTAGGCATATTTCACTGAATTAAGTCATTCAACAAGTATCCTTACCTTGAAGAGTAGTCCAGGGTTCAGATTAGAAACTTGAAGTGTTTGATGCAAGTTCTAAATATAAGTGTATTAAATAGCTTCTTGCTTTCTAATTTGTTTAGCATTTTCAGGTATGTGTTAAAACAAATGGCTTTGTGTGGATGAGCTAGTCTGTTTATGAAATTATTAGAAACTCTTTCTTGTTACCATCCTGGGGAGGATGGTTAACTGCCGTGCTCTCTAGTTGTACGTGCAGAAAAAAAATACCAGGAATTTTTTGTGTGTGAACAAAAAGTTCTGGGACTTCTGGTTTGTGAATTTGGAGTTGGTGTGTGTCTTATGAGTGAAGCAAAATTACCAATCCATGTTTATGGAGATTTGCTTTCATCAGTCATGGTCTTTATGCATTCATAATAGAGTCACGTAGTACTTTGTGCCTGCCTGTGTTGGAGACGTTACTGAAATGTGTCTGAAACATTTCTCACATCCTAAATGCAGAGAAAGGAATTTTTTTCATGGTTTTTAAAGTGATAAGTAAGAACCCATGATGATTAATCAGCCCCATATGGGTTTGATCAGACAAAGAAGGACATTTGCTGACTTAATTAAAAATTATGTCAGATTATGTCATTGTATCACTTTTAATTTGTAGTCTGTTTATGCAAAGATACCTGGGCTTCTTGGTGCTGTTAAATGGGGAACTGTCCTGCATGGTAAAGGTGAGGTGGAGGCTTCTGTTTTAGAGGAATAACAAGCTACCATAAGGTGTTTCACTTAAATCCAGTTTAATAAAATCTGCTAAATTTAAGAAAGACTGAATAACCTTTTTTAAGGTGAATTTGGCTCACTGTATCTGGATTTCAAACAAATTGCCCCTGCATTAGGAATATTACTGTTATCTCTCTTTTTACATTTGAAAACTACATCTTATTAAGAATTGTGGTTTTTTATCTTGATCAATGTGTGATATAATATCATTATGTCCGTGCCAAATTTTAATCTGTTTTTACATGCTTTTTAAAATGGAATACTTAAGTGTAATTAAAATATTTTATATGAGCTTATCAAGGAAAGAGGATAATGTAATGAGATGTAACAGTGGATTTAAACCAGTTCTAATTTATTTCACATGTTATGCCATGCCACTGAATGGCTTCTATCAAAAACTCATGTATTGTTTTTGGCATTTATGTTCTCTGTATGTCACTGAAGTTTGTACTGTCAAAATCTACCTGACAAACATTTTCTTCCCTGGTCCAGAGCAGAATACACAACTTGTGTGTAGCTGTTGTTCCTTCAGTATGCTGACACTTAGCTCTAGTACGCTTGAGCTTTAAAACACGAATGATGGAGCAGAGTAATGATGATTCAGGATCAAGTGAGGAAGTGGTTGATGGTTTGATAGGCAATGGATGCAGAGAGATGGAGACAGCCAGGACCTCATAAACAACAAAACGGGGCAGGGAGGAGCCACCCGCAGTTTATGCACATGAATAAGGGCGATTGAGAGAAGAACATTTAGGGAAAGCTCTCATACCTTTTCTGGGAAATCAGCACAAGAGTGTGAATCTCCGGATGGCCTGTGCTCTAAAGCATGGGGAACAACCTAGAGGAATTAGAGGTTTGCTGTGCAGCTGCAGGGCTCTGGTCTTATCATGATTACAGAGAAGGGGTGGGATAGCTCATATTACTGGAGTGCTGCAATCCATGGAAGCACAGGGCAGGATAGCAAGGAAGGGGTGTAGCCCTCCATGTGAGGGAGCAGAATATGCAGGGAGCTCTGCCTAGACATGGGTGATGGACCAGCTGAGAGTTTATAGGTCAGGATTAGAGGCCCAACCAATGTAATGATTTTGTAGGTGTCTGCTATGGACTTCCTGATCAGGAAGAGGAATTAGATGAGGCCTTCTTCCAGTTGTAGGTTCTGGTTTTCATGGAGAACTTAAACCATCCTGGTATCTGCTGGCTGAGCAATGCAGAAGGGCACAAGCAATTCAGGAGATTGCTGTGGTACACTGATGATAGGAGGGAAAGTCTGGAGCAAGGACTCAGCAGACCATGATATGATCAAGGAACATTTAAATAAACTGGACATATACAAGTTATTGGCACGTGACAAGATGAACCCATGAATACTAAATGAACTGGTGTTGACTGATGTCACTGCAAGGCCAGTCAATAATCTTTGGAACACAGCAGTCAGGGGATGTTCTTGAAGACTGGAAGAAAAATCATCACTACTACCTTCAAAAAGGGAAAGGGATCTTGGAAACCATAGGCCTGTCAGCCTTAGCTCAACCTCTGGGTAGGTGATGGAACAAATAATTGTGGAAAATATTTCCAAACATATGTGTAGAACAAGGGGGTGATTGTGGATAGTCAGCATGAAGTTACAAAGGGCAAATTGAGCCTGACAAGCCTGATGGCCTTCTTTCATTAGTCGACTGGCTTGATGGATGAGAGGAGAATATCAGATGTTCTCTATCTTGTGTCTGGTAAGAAGTTCAACACCCTTTTCTAAAACACCCTTATAGACAAACTGAGGAAGTACAGCCTAGGTAAGTAAACAGTGAGGCTGGAAACTGGCTGAATACCAGGTTTAGGGGATTGTGACATGTGACACCAAATCC